GCAGGGGCTCAGGCAGTCCATTCACCTCAGCCTCCCAAAGGCGCGGGATTACAGGCTGAGCCACCGAGCCTGGCTTGACCTGGGATTTTCATCTGAGATCAAAGGTCCCTTAGCAAATCAGGGACTCTTGAAATGAATGTTTTTGTTTTTTTACTGTTAAGATTTACAATATGAACATGTCTAAGATAGTTAAACTTTGAATGGCTGACTAAGAAAGGTGTTCCTCATCTGGAACAATGGTTGTATGCCCTGGAGCACTGACATTATATGAGCTAGAATTTAGGGTTCTCAACCTCTGCTCTAGTGACATTTGAGTCCATCATTCCTTGTTATGGGGATGTTCTCAGTGCATCATAGAATGTCCAGCAGCATCTCTGGCTGCTACTGACTAGATCCCAGAAACATTGCCTTCCTTTCTACATTTGGAAAACCAAAACTACCAGACACTGTCAAATGTCCACTGGAAGCAAGATCATTCCAGGCTGAGAACCACTGAGCTAGATCAAGCCATTCTGCTACAGAAATTCAAGAATGTCCATCTTCTCCCAGTTCACCAAAAACAAAACAGCAAAATGCATTACTTAGCAGAATTTCTCTACTTTAAGTTTTTTTCTCAGAACTTTTTTTCTTTCTTTCTTTCTTTCTTTTTTTTTTTTTTTTTGAGTTGATGTCTCACTCTGTTGCCCAGACTGGAGTGCAGTGACTGCTCCCAGCCACCGCAGCCTCGACCGGCTGGGCTCTGGCAATCCTTCCGCCTCAGCCTTCCAAGTAGCTGGAACTACAGCACATGCTACCATGCCCAGCTAATTTTTTGATTTATTGTAGAGATGAGGTCTCGCCAAGTTGCCCAGGCAGGTCTCGAACCCGCAGACTCAGGTAATCCACTCACCTCAACCTCCCAAAGCGTGGGATTACAGGCTGAGCCACCGAACCCGGCTGGCTATTTTCTCAGAACTTTTAACAATTAGTATCATTTATTCTATTGAAATATAGTATGAATAGTTGATTTGGCTCAAAATAATATATGTGGTTATTTTATATTGAACATAACAATATTTGATAATGCTTTCAAAACATGTCACATTTTTTAGAGGCTTTGCTTTGTAAAATAAGAATAAAATTTGTGGTTGGGTGTGGTAACTCACGCTTATAATCCTAGCACTTTGGGAGGCTGAGGCAGGAGAATTGCTTGAGCCCAGGAGTCTGAGACTAGCCTGGGCAAATAGTGAGACCTTGTCTCTCTAAAAAAAAAAATTATCCAGTGCTGGTGGTGTGCGCCTGTAGTCCCAGCTACTCAGGAGTCTGAGGGAGAAGGATCCCCTGAACCCAGGAGGCTGGGGTTATGGTGAGCAATGATTGTATCACTGTACTCCAGTCTGGGCAACAGAGTGAGACCTCAACTCAAAAACAACAACAGAAAAATGAAGTTTGCTATTTTAGAGACTTTTCCAAGTATTTGGCAGTAAGGAATATTAAGTGAAGCTATAAAGTGGTTTCATCATTACAAAGAAAGATTTAGTAAAACCCTGCCCAAGATAAAAAAGATGAACTAAATAGACATTTAAGAGTCCTTTTTTCAACTCAGACATTCTGCACTCATTTTGTGTGTGTTTGTGAAGAAAGAAAAGACTGCCCTCATTTCCAAAGTCATACATGCTGTCCATTGCTATTGCTTAGAAATCTTTTATGTTAAGACCAACAGGAGAGGAAGAAATATCTGGAAGGGAGCTTTGTAATGTGACTTTGGATTGCTCAGCTGGCTCCAGGTGTGGTGTGATGGCGTTGGCTATATGGAGACAAAAAGCCTGGTTGTCATTTTGCAATGGTTGTGTCATGGTAGCTGAGAGTCAAAAAGTGATGAGGGGGTGGGGTGGGGACATGGAAATGTGCTTTGTAATTTGAGCCCCTTTTGACGACCGTTCTGGTGGGGTTTCCATTTCAGACTTCCTGTCCCCCAAAAGCAGCCTGTGTAGAATAACAGGCTGTGGAGGTGTGATTCACGTGTAACGGTGGATGGGCTGAGCCCACCCTTTGGGTGACTCATGCAGGTTTTCTGTCCTACCACTCTATGAGGCTGGAAAATCTCTCAGATCGAGGTCTGCTGGTGAGTTTTTTCTTTTTTTCACTTACCAGAATGCTCATTTAAGAATATGGTGAACCCTGAGGGGGTTAGCCACTGGAGGGAGGTGGTCTTCAACAGAGAAGTGACACACTTTAGAGTGAGTGTCTGGCCTTCCTCCAGGGTGATGGTTTCAGTGTGGTTAGTCAGAAAGGCCTCTGTGGAGAAAGAGAATTGGGGACAATCAGACTGGCAGGGCTGAGCCACAACTGCTGTGGCAGGATTTAGTTTCAACACAACCTCATTCATTCATTTAACCATCTATTGCATACTTTTTCTAGAAAAAAAGCCAATACAAAAATGAGATGAGAGAAGCGAGCACTGTGTATAGGAGTAGTAAAGGTGACCCCTGAAAAAGGGGACATTGGAACTAGGTCTGGATAAAGAGATGGGGTTTTGACAGGAGGAAACAAAGTTGAGCAATAGTCCAACAGGTATTGGACGCTTGCTTGGCCATATGCCAGAAAGTGCGCCAGGTCATATTGCCTGTATTTAACTTAATTTTCAAACTAACCCTATAAAGGAAGAATTATCATGCTTACTTTATAGATAAGGAAACAGAGGCTCAAAGTTACAGAGCTCATGGAGCTGGGATCTGTACCCAGGGCTATGGACGTCAAAGGCCATGCTTATGTAACTACTCTGTCCTATCTAAGTGATGCGACCCCAGAAAACTCAGCCTTTCTGCCTTTGGTTTATATGATGGGCATCTTTACCTTCAAGTACAAGTTGTGTGACTAGGATTCTAAGAAAGAATGTTATGACCCTGTGGTGCTCTTGTGAACTGTGAAGCTGTCTTTCACAAGAATAGCTAAGCCCCACCTGCTGGAGAGCTTCTACACCAGAGGGAGGATGTTCTAAGATCTCTTCCAATTCAATATTCCATAGCCACGCTTTCTCCAGGCAAACATGAGAGTCTAATTTCCTCGAATCACAATCCCCAGAGAATGAAAAACAATTGGTCCTAAGCAGCTGCAAATTTCTCTCCCCCAAAAAGAAGTCGATGGGAAAATAAACTGGTATTTTTGCTGATTATGTCTTCAAATTTTAAATTAAAATTTTTTTTCCTGAGGAAAAGGCAATTTTTATCCATGAAGGTACAAAATATTTTTATAAACAGAAGAATACCAAGGGGTTATAAATTATGAATAGCAAATGCAACAAGTTTTACATCATCTTTAGACCTTAAAAAAAAAGAGAAACCAGAGGGGAGTTTATTTTCTTGTGATAAGTTTCAAGTATTAGGAAAAGTGCTTTGGAGAGCTCTGGGAATTAATTGGTGCCTTACTTTTTTGCTTTCTTCACTCCTAGGTCATTAATTTCAATTTAGCCTCCAGTGGTAATAACCCAGAATTACTGTGTTGTATTCAGATTGACTTTCAAGGGAAACAGTTTGCTTGAGTTCTAATGGAAAAATACCCATATCATCTGCCAGTACTGTAATGAACAACAAGGAGCCAATGAAAAGAGATTTCTGCTTTCCAAAAAGCATTGAAGCATAAGACCAGAGTTCTGCTTACGTCTGACCATTTGAAAATGTTCTCATCTATAAAACAATCCATAGTTGAGTAAGGATAACAATATTAATAGAGAATGGCAATGGAGTTTCTTCTAAGGGATTATTGCCGATAAAGATTTGGAACTAAATGACTATTTAGTCCCTATTCTTGTGTCATCATGACATCGATATTAGGCTGGCAGGGAAACTCATGGTCCTCAATCAAGGTAGTACACTAGAATCACCAATGGAGCTTTCAAAAAACCCCAATGTCTAGGCTGCTCCCATTACTAATTAAATCAGAATCCCTGGTAGGACCCACATGTCAATACTGTTCCCAATGAACACAGTTGCAGTGCAATGAATAATTAAAATTCCAGAGCTCCGTGGATGATCCTCAGGAACTTGGAATCAACACTTTGCTTTTGCAAGAACCACACAGAACAGGAGGATAAGTGCCCATCTTATTTTCAAAGACTTCCAGAGAAAGACATTCTACTATCCTACTGTATCTAACTCCTGATATTCTTAGTTGGACTGAGTATTCTCTCAGCAGAAGACTCCTAAATCTAGTAAGAAAAAAAAGAGAGCAGATAGAGACCCTGACTCTGAAGTCATCTGACCCTTAAGACAGGGCATGAGTCAGGGTGGGGCTGGTAGTGGTACCAAGGAGGAGCCCAAATCTGTCTTTTTATTACTTTTACCCTTTTTTTTTTTTTTTTTTTTGAGTTGGAGTCTCACTCTGTCGCCCAGACTGGAGTGCAGTGGCACGCTCCCGGCCACCGCAGCCTCGACCTGCTGGGCTCTGTTGATCCTTCCCCTTTTCCTTCCAAGCAGCTGGTACTACAGGCGCGCACTACCACGTCCGGCTATACTTTTACCTTTTGATCATAATTCTTTCTATCCTCTGAAGGTATCTTTTCCATACATAGCCTGGTCAAATAATTAAATAAGATAATGCCTTTAGTTTCATTACCTTTTCCTCACCCCTTCCCACCTACTACACCTGAATATAGTATAGTTTGTCGATGATTCTTTGCCTGGGACAGAAGACACAGGAGTTCTCCAAACTGGCTAGAGCATGTGGAGATATCCACTTGTCTCACCATAGATCCTGTGGACTCCCCCCACCACCTTTTTTTCTTTAAATCAAGCCCAATGCTTCACTCTTGAGTTGTAACATCTCACTAGACTCACGTTGACTAGGTAGTCACCCCAAACACCCAGATCTTATTCAGAGAATTGTGGTCACATCACGTTGTCCTCATTCTGTGTTGATGTGTTTCATTTTGGGACCAAATTTCAGGTTTCACATTCTCCCTAGATCAGTTTTATTTGTTCACTTTCAACTGAAGGGTCAAGATTTCTGAGACATTTTGATCTTGATACTTCAATCTGTCAGTAGCCGACTAGGCTTTGTGCCATCTGAACTTATTTCAAAGGGGAGATGTATTGTATTTATATCAGCATCCCTAACATGGGTGGCATGTGATATGGTGGTTAGAACATACATAGGAGCCAGATTGCCTATGTTGAAATCCTGGCTCCCCCACTACCAATAGCATGAATTTGGGCAAGTTGCTTGTCTCAGTTTTCTTACCATAAACACAATAGTACTCATAGAGTTGTTGAGATGATTAAATAACATATAAAGAACCTAGAAAAGTACTTGGTGCATTGTAAGCATCATGCACTACTATTACTTGGTAAGTAGTTCTCAAAAATTATTTGAAGAATTGAACTGGCTCTTGCTTTCAAAAGAAAAACAGAAAGGATCAGTGTTAAAAAAAAACAAAACAAAACCCTTGTAGCTGAGCAGAGATCTCCTTCCCAAATGTTACAGGACTATTTATTATTAAACATTCTAAGGTCCTAGTAGACATTAAAAGAAGAAGCAGTTATAGATACAATAAACTTATAATTGGAACCACTCTGGAGAGTTAAGTATTTTGAGGATCAGATAATGATAATGAGTTAATTTTTTTTTGCAAATTAGGTGCCAAGGGTAGAGTTAATCATACAACTCAGTTCATGGTACACTATCATTATTTTATGAAGAGAGAGAGGTATAGAATTGTGTGGAATAATAAAATTATAAAATTGCCTTTTGCTTCTGGCCTTTCTTTGTCTCATAAATTGTTTGCTATTGAAGCATTAATTTATTTGCACACGGCCGGGCTTGGTGGCTCAGCCTGTAATCCCAGCACTTTGGGAGGCCGAGATGAGTGGATTGCCTGAGCCTGCGGATTCGAGACCCGCCTGGGCAACTTGGTGAGACCTCATCTCTACAATAAATCAAAAAATTAGCCGGGCGTGGTAGCGCACACCTGTAGTTCCAGCTACTTGGAAGGCTGAGGTGGAAGGATCGCTGGAGCCCAGCAAGTCGAGGCTGCGGTGGCTGGGAGCGGCCATTGCACTCCAGTCTGGGTGACAGAGTGAGACTCCAACTCAAACAAACAAACAAAAATTTATTTGCATACATGTGTGTCAATGTTGCTCTAAAAAATGTACTTCTTTAAAAAAGAATCTCAGCCGGGCTCGGTGGCTCAGCCTGTAATCCCACACCGGGAGGCTAAGGTGAGTGGATTGCCTGAACTCGCAGGTTCGAGACCCGCCTGGGCAACTTGGTGAGACCTCATCTCTACAATAAATCAAAAAATTAGCTGGGTGTGGTAGTGTGCACCTGTAGTTCCAGCTACTTGGAAGGCTGAGGCGGAAGGATTGCAGGAGCCCAGCAGGTCGAGGCTGCGGTAGCCAGGAGTGACCTCTGCATTCCAGTCTGGGCGACAGAGTGAGACTCCAACTCAAAAAAAAAAAAAAAAAAAAAAAAAAAGAATCTCTGCCGCTCCCGCCACAAAATCAAATCTACTTGTCATTAGACCCCACATACTCCATCTACCTTACAGCATCTGGAAGGATTGTCCATATTCTCCACTTGGTCATCAGACTCCATCCAATCTTGTTTATTCAAAATTTTTCTCCTGCATTGCCTCATCTCTCCTCTGTATCATCATTTTATTTCTCTTTAACTAGCATTCTCATCAGCACACAAATGTACTATTATTTCTCCCATATTAAAAATTTGGTGTCATATTCTTCTCCAGCTACTGCCGTATATGTCCCTCTCTTTTACTAAAAAAAATTTCTAAAAAAATTATCCATATTTGCTCATTGCACTCTTCCTTCCCTGATCTGGTTTTCAACCTCACTACTCTACTGAAGCTGCTCCTTTTCAAGCCACCAGAGACCTTCACATGGCTCAAACTAATGGTCCATTTCCAGAACTTATCTTATTCAACTTACTGTATGCTTTTTCCATAACTGATCACTCCCTGCTCCTTAAAACGGTGTCTTGACTTGGTTCCCTAGATATCAGTCTCTCCTTGCTCTTCTCCTAACTTACTGACTGCTGCTGCTTTTCAGCCTCTATTCCCGGGTTCTCCTCATCTATCTCCCTCTACACAGTGGAGAGTGACCCTGGTCTCTTCTCTCTCTATTCTCACTCCCTAGGTCATCTCATCTGGCATCATGCTTTGCTGATGACTCCAGTTAGATGTCTAAAAGGCCTATCAAACCTAACAAATACTAAGCCAATTCTTGATTTTCTTCCTGCAAATGTGTTCTCCTAGATTTTACTACCAGCAAATAGTAAGCCCAGTT